TCTTTCTCAGAGAAGCACTACCTCCACTACATGTTTACAATCATGATCAAATCAGACACACTGCTAGTGTTCAGTGCTGTGGGTGAGTCTGATCACGTACAGATCTCTCACTACAGCATTGAAGAACGAGTCTGGATGAGAGAGAATCTGACTGTAGACGACTGGGACAAAGCTCCTGAAGGACCACCTGAAACTAGAGACTGGTATCTAGACCTGATCAGGATTCTGTCAAACTGCACTGAGTCTTCTGGTGAGTTTAATGCTTTCCCTTCTTCATTATCAGACATGTTATGAAACTTTATTGGACTTTTTCACAAGGTGTCATACATTGAACAAAAACAGTGTGAGTAGCCACAGTGTGTCCTATACTCCCATCAGTACAAATATGCATAGATTTAAGTTTCTCATCATTATTGTTCTGTGATTGTAGAGCTTTCTGTTCTTCAGAGAGTGATTGGCTGTGAGCTGGAGAAGCTTCCTGATGGAACAGTGAATCTGACGCCGATTGATGAATATGGATTTGGAGGAGAGGATTGTGTTGCCTTTAATTCTGACACCTTACAGTGTTCTGATAAAAGTCCAAATGCCAAAATCAAGCGAGACCATCAAGTAAAACTTCAAGAATTCCTCAAGAACTGCCTGGACTGGATCTCCACGTTTAATAACACAAAAAATAGTAAGTTCGGATCAGATTCATTTAATGAGCTCCTGTCTTTGTGTGTGTTTGTGTTTTAATTTAATACAGAGGTGATTTATCATTATTAAACGACAGGTCAGTAGTAATGAAGAGTTACAAATATAAAACTGTTGAGGACAGCATTATTCTCATTTGAACATGGTTTTTATTTCATTTTCTGGGTTTGCGGTTTTCAACCGCAGCCCTTCACATTGTAAAAAGAAAAAAAAACTAATTTGTTTAAATTATGAAAATATATGAAAGCTATTAGACGTGTGCATGTCAGAAAATCTGATCTTCATTTTGCAGTGAAGTAAGTACCAGTAGAAGTTAAGTCTGTCACAATGGATCACATGCAGCTAACTAAGTTTCTTGATGAATAAATACAAGGATATTTATTTCACACATTGAGAAAGAATTCTTGATAACTGTTTTAATTTCATTATTATTATTTTCTGCTCCAGATTCACCAGATGTTTATATCTTTGCTAGAAAAGCTCCTGATGATCACAGTAAGCTGGTTCTGATCTGTCTGAACACTGGTTTCTACCCCAGAGATATTGAGATGAACATCAGATTGAACAGAATTAACATTGAGAGCCAAACATCTTCTGGAATCAGACCAAATGATGATGAAACCTTTCAGATGAGATCCAGTGTGGAGATCGACAGAAAAGACAAAGATCTTTTGACTGTTTTGTCATTCACAGCAGCCTGACAGAACCAGTTTCAGTAGAATGGGGTAAATATCATCATACATGATGAGGATTATGATTTGGTGATTCGTAACGCTATACATCAAGGATGTATACATCAGCACATCACATGTAACATATATTCTATATTCATTCTAAATTAGGTATTGTGCATTAAAGGGGTCATATGATGCTACATGCACTTTTACAAGTTGTTTGAACTGAAATCTGTGTTGGCAGTGTGTGTACACAACAACCCTATAATTATAAAAATCTACTAAATCTACTAAAATTTTTACCCCTTTCTCAAATCGAGCCGATCTCAGATGCCTGTCTGTGTGACGTCACACAGACAGGCCCCTCCCACGATAGTTTGAGTGACAGTAGCGTTTCAGCACAGACTGGACTGGTGTCTTACCTTAGACCCGCTCTGAGTGACTGTTACATTGTTTCTGAAGGGAATGCTCCCCCGATCTACATAAATGCGTCTATGTTCGCGCGAATCATTCATGATCCAGCCTCATCTACAGAAGAAGTGAGTGTAAGGTTTTTTAATGAATCTTTGCAAACCGCCTTTCCTAATAATGTGCTGAATAGCAAGTTTCACGATGAATGCGGCTAAAGTAAACAGTCTCTCTGACAGCAGCTCGGAAGAGAGGGGCGGAGTCAGCAGAGATCATTAACATTTAAAGGAAAATGCTACAAAAACGGCTTGATCTGAAAAGAGCTGTTTTTGACAAGGTAAAAAAAGGTGTTTTTTACACTACCGTTGAGAAATTTGAACCAAACTATGTTACAGACTTTTAATTAAGACCCTAAAGAATCATATCAACTTGTGGAAAATGGGCATCCTATGACCCCTTTAATTAATATAATTTTCACACATTTGTTCATTTTGGTTAATGTTAAATTATAAATATGCTTTTGTCCATTCATTGTAAGATCTGATTATTCTCAATGATGCTCTATCTGTTTATTGTAATATAAAAAATAATTAGTAGGCTATATGTAGAAATTTAATTAAGCAAAAATGTGTGTTACAGATACATTAAAAAGCTTCAATGAGAAGATTACCATAAAATATATTTTACTTTCACAGCTAATCCTAAACTAATGAATCTTCACTGATTCATACAAACTCCCCACTTTGTTCTAAGTCATACATCTAAGTATATTCTTCTTAATAATTATATTTATTTATATCAAATGTTTTATTACACACCATTGGCTGATGTTAAGTTTCAAGTAAAATGCTACTTTTTTTTTTACAACGCTAATTTACAAGCTAATAATGCAAGTGCCAGTTGTGTTTCATACTGGTGTAAAGTATGTTTCTGGCAACTTTATCATTTAACTAACATTATGTTCTTGCTTCATCCAAACAATAAATGCATGTCTTTGATTCACTGAAAATTAGGCTGTTTTTTTTGTTTAAATGTTTGCTCGGGTAATTTGCACCCTGCAAGTCACTCTCAAATTTGATAACAGGTAATCCTAATGCTGAAATAGATCAAGCAATTTCAGTTCAAGTTTCCATATACTGATTTTGTTTTTATAATTTTTTATCTTCGTTCTGCAGATGGCAGATGCTCTGGCTGTGAAACAGAATCTCAGTGGCCTGTTACAGTAGGAACAGTAATATCAGCTCTAGTTCTATTTGCAGCCTCTTCTGTGATTCGTCGCTGCATCAACAAAAGGAAAAAGCATCATGGTGAGAATGAAACATTTGACATAATCATTGTTGCTTTAAATCTCATTTGTAAATTTTCGTTTTGAAATATATGAGCTAAAAATGACAGTAGAAATATGTGGTGGTAGAGATTTTGATGATGAGATTTTTCAATATTTGGATTTCATTTGATGATATTAAGATGATCAGATATGTTTATCAAACGAATGTGAAGTGTGACATCAGTGCAGCTTAAACATACTGTATGTCCTCAAGATGAAGTGTGATCTGCTGTATCTTTCCCAGGTCTGATGAGAAGTTATCGTTATTACGGTGGAGCGACTGAACAGCTTCAGATCTCCAAAGTGTCTGATCGAGAGCTCAATACAGACTAGACTGCGATGAGAACAGGTTCACACTGACACTCTATTCTAATTTTCCAGCTGTGTTCAGAAAAATGTACTCTTGTTTTTTCCCCCCAGCATTTTCTAATCCGTGTCAGCTCTACTTTATTAAGAATAAATAGTTAAGAAGTTATTGATAAGAGGTAACATAAATTTGCAAAACAAAAGCAATTATTTATCTCATTACATGAACAGTAAATAATATGAGGGGAAAGTCAAATTAAGAACTCTTATTGCTATAAGATGTTATAGTATTCTAAGCTAAAAATACTATTTATGGCCTTTACATCCCCAGCTAACAGGAAACGCTCTCTGAATGTTCTGGCAAGGTACTCTCACAAACGTTCTTCCAGTAACATTAATAGAATGTTCATTTAAAGTTATGTGATCTTAGCATTATTTATACATCATTCATGGAACGTTTTTTACCCCTCTGGTGCTCCTCATTTGGGGGCCACACTTGTGGTCTTCACAGTCAAAAGTGACCGGACCCCTGAAATGTAAAAGTGACCGTAGAGCACCACTTGTTTCAGAATGTTTAGAGAACATTCAAAAGTAACATAATATTTACAAAGTGATAAAATCAAATGTTCCTTTGATACATATATATCATATATTCTTTCGTATAACCGAAAGAAAAAAAAACATTCAGAAAAGTTTGTTTTCAGATTTCATTTTTGCATCTTCGCCGTTTCTAATGGCTGTTTGTGAGTCACTTGAATCAGAATACTGAATCACGACAGACCCTGTTTATTATGTTCATTTATGCTCCTATAAAATGACACTACTTGAAACTTTTCACATTTGACAGTTTCTTGATTGTTTTTAAGGATCAAGGTTATATTTGTATCACATGCAGTATACTTCTCTGTTGTTGTTTCAGGGAGGAGGACTGTGAAACTGTGAAAGATAAATTTATGGAATTGTGTTTTGTTGGAATTTGAATTTATGTTTTTGTTTGAATGTCAGATTTAATTACACTGTGAATGTGCCTCAGATGCTGTACTGTATATCTGTCTGTAAAGGTGTGAACAAAATACACTCTAAAAAATTGAAAAGGGACAAACCCAGCTTTTGGGTTGTTTTGGCCAGCTATTGGGTTGTTTTCCAACCGCTGGGTCAAAACAACCCAATAGCTGGGTTTGTCCCTTTTTAACCCAGCATTTTTTAGAGTGTAGCACAATGTTCCTTGCCAGAAGCAAATAATGTTATGTGGAAAATTAATGCTGGACCATTAGGTTGCTGTAAAGCTCTTACTGTGGAGGGATCAATGAAATGTTAAAGTGCAGCATCTGAAAGCAAGTTGTTGTTTTTTTTTAATCATTGAAAATAATAAATAAATCATTCAGATCTTCTGTTTACCTTTTCTAGCAAATAAAGATTTTTTTTTACAGAAGTAAACTTTAGATGTTGTCATTGAGGATTTGAGGTACAGTGTTACATTTATCCGGCTGGAAAACGAAAGTGTAATTTCATCAGCAGCCAGTGAAGGGCAGCAATGCACTCAATAACACCTAGAGACGATAAAAACCGCTTCACTGCTGAGCTGTTCAGGACGTGCGCATGAAATCATTTAAGGACTGCTCTCGTTCAAAACGTTTTCTTTATAGACAAGAATGTTTTGGCTCATTTTACTATCTCTTTTTATTTGCATTTCTCCTCAAAGCAATGCGAACCCAGGTAAGCACAGAGTTTTCTGGTCAAATTTGGGACTTATACAGTGTTAATAATTTAATAGTTGGAATACAATATAAGATTTGACTGAACTGCATCAGTAGGCTCTCTTTAATGTGAACCCGAGCTAAACAGAGCTCATCTGCTTACACAGCAAACTCAATAATCATAATAAAATACAATAGATCACAATAATCATAATAAAAAATGCAATTTCTTATGTTTTTTTATATATATATATATCTGTATTTATATGTTGATCCTTATTTATTTCATATACAGTTAATTAATGTTATTTGCAGATTAAAAACGATCATGTTGTTCCCGTTGCGTTGTCGATGTTGCTTTGTTAGTTTCCTGTGTGTGGTTTGTTTCAAATCACTTTCTGTTTGACACAATTAGTCTACTAGAATAAACTTTCTTAACAGTGTTTATGCTCAACGAACACTCAATTCCACGCGGGTCTAATAAAAAACGCCGTCAGTGATTGTGTGTCAGTGTGCTAATATTCTCAATCATAGTCACAATGGTGACAAATCATTGTTTTTAACCCTAGAGTGCATGCTCAGAGACTGCAGAGGGCACATCTAACCCACACTTCCTTTGGTTCTGAGCTGCCAGATGCCTTTATATAGACAACATAAAAGTTCTCTATTTAAAATACTGACAGTTTCACCTCTATCTGTCTGTCTTTTATCTGCAAAAGTTTAAGTGCTAAAAAAATACAGTTTTGGTCAAAAAAAAAATTTAATTCTTACTCTTTTTTTTTTCTTATAAAATCTGCATGTACCTATATTTACAGCCTGGGAGGAAGTGTGGAAATAATGAACTGATCATAGGACTCCTACCTTACCCTGCTTGGTGGAATTGGTGTCGTTACAACTACCTAGTCTCCCCTAAATTTAGTTGTTGTGCACTATGGTACACTCTCAGAAAAACAGGTACAAAAGCTGTCACAAAAGCACTCTTTCAAAAGGTACCAAATTGCACTATTTCAGTACTAAAATGTACCATTTAGGTACTAATATGCACCTTTAGAGGTAAATAAGGAACAAAGGTGCACTGTATATTTGGAAAGATACCGCCCCAGAGATAGCATTTTTAACTTTTTTTCTGAGAGTGTAGCTATAGCTGTGTTCTGCCTTATAACAAACGGTGCAACCGAATAAAGTAGTTAGTTTCAAACTAGTAACTAAGCCTCTAGTGTGGATTTTACGTTCCAGTTAAAAAGGGATAGTTCACCCAGAAATGAAATTTCTATCATTAATTACTCCGTTACAGGTAACGTTCCAAACCTGTAAGACCTTCGTTCATCTTTGCAACACGAATTAATTAAGCATCACACGCATGTGTCGTGGCACTCTCCTGAACACACATCGAAGACTGACCCGGAAGAGAAGAACTTGTTGAATAAAGTCATTGTTTTTTGTTTTCTTTGCGCACAAAAAGTATTCTCGTAGCTTCATAACATTACGGTAGAACCACTGATGTCACATGCACAATTTTAACAATGTCCTTACTACAGTTCTGGACCTGGGAAAGTTTCAGTTGCATTGCTGTCTATGCAGGGTCAAAAAGCTCTCGGATTTCATCAGAAATATCTTAATTTGTGTTCTGAAGGTTAACGAAGCTCTTATAGGTTTGGAACGACATGAGTGAGGGTAACACCCCCCATTTTTTAAAATAGGCATGCAGGTGCACTATCCAAACTTAAATTGTTGTAATTTATGAACACTTTGGAATACAGACATAAGGTTGGTCTCTTTTTAAAGAAGAAAATCAGCAAATTATCGCAAAAGTGGAATTTTTTTCAAATTTAAGTATCAAAAAGTTATAGTAGTTTACATTTACTGTAAAGAAAATGCACTATATTAATTTATTTTATTTTATATATAATAAATATTTTACATATCAGGTTTTACTCTAAAATTGGTATAAAATTATAGCCTTATGTCTAAATAAGTTATGTTCCAAATTTGAAGTTGATATGAAAAAAACTGAGGTTCCTGTGAGATTTTATTTAGGGCGTTATACCATAAACAGCCACCGGGTGCCATCCAAACTCCATTGAATTTTTTTAATGCATTTTTCTGTCACAAATGTCTAGATTTCTCTGTCAATATTACTTCTATTCTACTTCTACTCAAAATAACCACCAAATATGGAATCCTGAGACTCAGACCTTTCCAATTATATGTTTTTTGTCAAGATTATAAAAAGTTTTGATTCTAAAAGACCGTAATACATTTTGTAATATGACACTTGACACCGCCCACTAAGGGGGAGGAGACCGCCAAAAGATTTTAAAGTACCATTTCAATGGTAACGCAATGTCTGATTTCGAAATGGTTTTCACAGGATGAATCTTGGGCTTCTAAGATTTCAAATGATATATGATATATGATGATTACTAAAAGATTTGATAAAGAAAAAAGACAACAACAAAACAGAGCGCCAAACGTCCCACAGGTGGGACTGTGACAGTTTTAATGACAGAATTTTCATTTGTTGGTGAACTATCCCTTTAAGTAAGACCTTATGAATAGCTTTTGACATTGTTTTTACAGGAGAAAAGGTTTCGCTGCTTCTTTTCATTGTGGTTCGTGCTTTTCAGAGAAACACTCCCTTCACTACATGTATACAGTCCTGACCAAAGCAGGTCCGTTTCCAGTGTTCAGTGCTGTGGGTGAGTCTGATCACATACAGATCTCTCACTACAGCATTGAAGAACGAGTCTGGATGAGAGAGAATCTGACTGTAGACGACTGGAACGAAGCTCCTGGAGGGCCGCCTGAAACTAAAGATGGGTATCTAGATCTGATCAGTATTCTGTCAAACTGCACTGAGTGTTCTGGTGAGTTTAGTGCTTTTATCAACATCTAATCAACATTTGAGCTCAGGAATGAAAATGAAGGTGTAATTTCATCAAGTAGCCTCTTTGAGCATCTATACTATACTCACTCAAAAGGCACCCGTGTACTCTCAAGGGTACACAAGTATGATTATTTACTTACTTATGTTGTTCTGTGATTGTAGAGTTACATGTACTCCAGAGAATAAGTGGCTGTGAGCTGAAGAAACTCCCTGATGGAGCAGTGAAGAGTCTGAAGGCCTTTGATGAGTTTGCATACGATGGAAATGATTTTATTAGCTGTAAGTATGACCTTCTTCCGTGGATGGATAAAGTCATAGAAACCGAAATTAATCATCAAACTGGACGAAACCCATTTCTCAAGGATTTCCTCATAAACTGCACTAAGTGGATCTCCACGTTTAACAACACATATAAGAGTAAGTTCTGAGCGCATCACTTTATAATGAGCTCTTCTTTGTGTTTTTGACTCTTTCTAATTTTGTCGTGGTACAGAGGTTGTTTGTCATCATCACCATTGAAGACACTTTAAGCGATGTTTAAATTTTCAAACCTGTATGAATTTCACTTTTTTAAAAATCCATCTCAACTTAAAAACTTCAGGGCATTTGCTGCCTTACATTTTTAAGTTTAATCAAATTGTCTGTATTTCTCAACTCATTTAAAAAAATGTATCTACTTTAATCTCATATGCCTTAAAGCATAAAGTTGAAATTGGTTAGATTATTTTAATAAGGTAAACTAATGAAAAAACATAAGACTTATTGATCATATATTTTACAGTGTTCTTTTTTTAAAGGGGTCATATGATGCTATTTTAAAGATCATTATTTTGTGTATTTGGTGTAACAGAATAGGTTGACATGCTTTAATGTTCAAAAAACACATTATTTTTCAAATACTGTACATTATTGTGGCTCACCTATGCCCCGCCTCTCTCAAACACGTCGTTTTCAACAAAGCCCCCTCCTTTGACAAGCGCAGTCTGCTCTGATTGGCCAGCTGACCCAGTGCATTGTGATTGGCCGAACACCGCAAGCACTCGTCGGAAATGTAACGCCCCTTACCATAATCGCGAGCGTCAGCTTTCAAAGTAAATATCAAGACAGTTAATAATGTCGTTAGTTTTACCATCAGTTCAAGCCCGAAAGGGCAACAGAGTCGCGTGGCCGACTCAGTGATGATGCAGTATACAAGCCGCGGTTAAGACAGCTGACATGCTATGATTTCTGACAGGCAGTTCACTCTCCTGTGATGTGACCCTGTTCCCCTCACACACACACACACACACACACACG